GCTGCCCAGATGGCACCATCTGCCCTTCTGCTGACACCAACTTTGACGGATGCCCCAAACCTGAAAAGTTGAAAGACTGCGTGTCCGACACTATGCCCGGTACGAGGAAGGAAGGTAACAGAACGGCCGCAAAAGTCGAATCCACATCCAGCAACTCGGCCGTCACTCTCGAGTGTTCAGGCGACACATTCATCGACTGCTGGACGTTCTTCGACTATCCAGACCCCACTCATGGCGACGTCGTGTATGTCTCTGAAAGCGAAGCTCTTGCCTCTGGCTTGTATTCTGTGCAAAATGGCACTGTGTACCTCAAGAGCCAGGTGGGTCAGAACCAACCCTCGAAAAGTATTAGGCTACAGTCGAAGGCGGTTTATCAGGCGGGGCATGTCTGGCTGATTGATATCCAGCACATGCCAACGGGTATGGGAACATGGCCTGCTTGGTGGTCTGCGGGGCCCGACTGGCCCTACAATGGGGAGATTGACACAGTTGAGACCGTGAATATTGAGAATGTCGTGCAATCGACCCTCCACACTAGCGCCGGATGCTTCATGTACATTGATGGGATCAGTAATCCTCATTGTGTTTCCGGGCAAGGCCAAAGTGGATGTGGAGTGAATGGGCCTGAGAACAGTGCCGGGCCAGGGTTCAATGCCAACGGAGGTGGAGTTTATGCCACTCAGTGGACCAACGAAGCCATCTACATGTGGTTCTTCCCCCGTGGCCAGATCCCCACAGATTTAGACCGAGGAAACACATACTCCTGGGGCCCGCCTTACGTGACCTTCCCCTTCTACAACTGCCCCTCTTGGCACTTCAACGATCAGACACTCGTGATTAATCTCGCCTTTTGCGGTGACTGGGCTGGTTCGGTGTTTCCAGGCGGGAACGAAGCTTGCATCGAGTATGTCCGGAACCCAGCCAACATCGATGCACTCTCCGATGCATACTGGGCGATTAATTATGTGAAGGTCCTGTTCTGAGCTGTATGTTTATATCAATGGCTGCGAAAATTAGCAGCTTTGGCAAGCACGGCTCGCGAAGATTCGAGAAACAGACCATCTGGCCGACAAAGGAACTGCCAGCGTGATTTGTGACTCAGCATGCAAGGCAAAAAAGGACGGAGTCGCGATTGGTAGCAGCTGGTAGCACGACAAATCATGTTGGCAATGGAGACGTGCAGCCGACTCCTTAATTCCTCACCTCATACCAGCCCTTCTGAATCCGCATGGAATGATCCTCTCCGGAAATCTGGCGCAAGGAAGCACCATGCACCACTCCAAAGCCTAACAGCCATATGGGCTCCATAAAATTCCTTGTTCTACTCCTCCCGCACAAAGCAACAAAAGAAGTAGCCTTAAACCTGCCTTGTTGTACTCTTCCATTAAAGAGACAAAGGAAGCCTTTGGACCTGCCTTGTTCTACCCTTCATAAAGAGGCAGGCACAAGAGGCCTGAAAACCCTATCACCCTAAGGAAACGCCCTCAAGTCAACCCTAATCCCTATAAACCCAAAACTTACCATGCAATGCAGGCTCGTCCTTGCTATGTAGGACGGAAAATAAACCCTAAACCCATGTCAAGGCTGGGCTTCCGATCCTGCGCGAGTGCCTCAGAGGCTACAATGGCACCATCCTGGCCTACGGCCAGATCCCGGCCTGCAGACATCTCTTAGGGGGGGGGGGGGGGGGGT